ATATTATTTATTATATTATAACAGAAACACTTATATTCCGTCTAAATGTTGTTCTGTAAAAGTTCTGATATTCCCTCTCACACTGAAAAATTCAATAAAAAAGAACCTGTTTTAAAAAGAATTCATAAGAGTTTTATGAATGGTCCCTTTAAAAAATGTGAACTACAAATTCAATCATCCACGGTCAATTCCCCCACCAATGCTGCAGATATTCAAAGTGCTCTCTGGATGCGGGTGAACTATAACTCCCAACATTTAAGGTCAATTTCCTCCAAACTCCTCCAGAATTCAAAGTTGACCATGTCAGGTATGCATGCCAAGTTTGGTCCAGATCCATCATTAGCTTGGTTCCCAGCGCTCTTTGGATGGGACTGAAATTCAAGATCAATTCCTTCCAAATTGATCTATAAATCACGAAATCCAGGGTCAATTCCCCTCTAAATCCCTCCAGTGTGTTCCGTTGGTCATGGGGGGTCTGTGTGCCAGGCTTGGTCCAGATCCATTGTTGGTGAGGGTCACAGGACTCTCTGGAAGTGGGAGCCAATAGAAAATCACCCACATGCATACATACATACATACATACATACATACATAGATACATACATTTATTTTTATTATGCCAAGGTGGACCATAAATAATTCTACTCACAGTATTTCGAATTTAGACATATATGTGTGTGCTTTGTTATGTATTTGCTATGTATTATGTATTTGTCTCCACTGTCCTAATCCCACTTCCAACAGAAATTGTTTTTTTTTTTCCTCCCTCTTTCTGTATGTTATCTTAAATCACTACTACACATTTCTTTAGTAGCTTTATAAAGAAATGTTTTGGTAGCGTCATCATTCGGAATTCTGTTTTTTAGGTTTAACGCATTCGACAACAGACTTTTTGGAATTAATGAGGTGGAAGCGGAGTGTATGGATCCACAGCAAAAGTTACTCCTGGAATGCACTTATAGAGCATTGGAAGATGCAGGGGTCACTAGAGAAAATATTAACGGCTCCAAAACTGGAGTTTTTGTTGGTAAGATTCTTAAAACATGTATGTTTTGATGCCACTACTCAATTACATGCTACTACACAATTTGACTCTACTCACTGAGGGTGCTTCCAGACAGCACCAACACATGGGATTAATATGCAGGATAAACAAACCTGGGACCTCAGAGCAGGGCCCCACACAGACCTGCCAGTCCTGGGCTTTCTTACCCCACCGTCATCACAACCCTTCGGTGTCTTAAGATAAAATTGAGAACAAACAAGGGACATCTGCTGGAAGATTTTTTTTTTAAAAAAAAATCACCCAATTATGTGCTGATGCAAATACTTTAATACAAATATGGAGAGATTGCTATGTGTATATATAAGCACCAGTACATAATGGCGGGGATTTTTTTTTAATTGCAACCGGATTTCCCTCTTTCCCCAGATGCTTATGCACAATCTATTCAATATTAAAAATTTTAAAATAAACACTTCCCGAGAGCTCTAATGCCTCTCTACTTCTCTCTTGGAACAAGCTAGAAATGAGATGTGTCTGCATGGGAGCCTGAATAGCTGATCAGCTTTTTCGGGCTTTTAAAAACCAGCACAGGCGGGAAGCAGTCCACAGGGGGTAAAGAGGGAAATCCTGAACTTTACATGACTGCAAGACCACACAGTCATGGGAAAATTTGGGTTTTTTGCCCAGAATCGGGATAAAAGAGGAACTTTTTGAATCGGGGTTTCCCTCCGTTGATGCGAACAAGCGTGCATTGTGCACAAATGTCATCTGGCCAACCGCCTTTTTAACCCTTTCTCTCTAAATTATAGGTATTGTCTGGAAGCACCATGAATTCAACTTTACATTTACAGAATAAAGAAGAGATAATAATTAAGTTAACAGAAATCGGTTCACCTATATGTTAATTACACTGATTGAAACATGCTGTATTCTTGCTCGCTTTCTCATCGGCCATCTATTATTTTCACAGGCATGATGAACCAAGACTATAGACTATTAAGGAGTAGGACCAGCTCTACAA